AAATGATGAGAGAATGTTCATTTTTGGGTGAAATCCTTAGCGGGCTGGTGCTTAGCAGGCGCATTAGTTTCCTTGAACTGTGTCAATATAGCATCTTTGAATCTGGAGAAGGTGACACATGCATTGCCCTCCTTCAGAATTTGCACCTTATTAGCATACCAACTGTTCTGCCACCCTAACATGGGAAGAGAGATGAATTTAGTTTTGGAAGGGATGATGGTGCATTTTAAATTATAATAAAACGAAGAGCAGAAATTCTGCATAACCATGGATTAAAATTCTACTTTAATTTCTAATCAGCTATTATACCACCCCTATTTCTCTTGAGCTATTGAGTTAAGATAGGCCCACATTACAGGATTGCAAAGTTTGCAGATTTTGCCAGTACAGTATAGTAGCATTTAAAATGCTGTGAAAATCCCTTCAATAAGACAGCAGAAACCACTGAAAAATTAAAACACAGCCCACGTACTACATTACTGACCTAACCTGCCATGTTCATGTACTGTAACTCCCACAGGTGATTCAACAAACTAGATGTACTGCGTGGGAAAATACAGATTACTTCCTGTTGAATGAAAACCCGTGCATACTGATTCAGTGCATCAGGATTGATACTAAATGAGAGTTATCCCAGGTGTGCACACAGGGAGTATACACAGTAAATCTGAGCCAGGGTCATATAGAGATCATCAACATGCTTCAAAGTCAAACTGAGGAAATGTGGGATCAAGCAGTTCGATGTTACAGGATGTTAACAAGAATATTAACAAGAATAAATTAAACTTTCTCTGTGCAGATCATTACATATAGTCCAATGCATATTATATATACTGTATATATAGAGAGAGAAATCAGCATATTAGAATGATTTCTGAATGATCATGTGACACTGACGACTGGGATATTGATGCTGAAAATTCAGCTTTGGCTATCAAAGGAATAAGTTACACTTTAAAATATATAAAATATATAATCAAACAGAATACCGTTCTTTTAAATTGTAATAATATTTCACAATATTGCTATTTTTACTGTATTTTTGATCAAATAAATGCAACCTTGGTGAGCATAAGAGACTTCTTGCAAAAAACATTACAAAAATCATAATCATTCCAAACTTTTAGTGTTAGTGTATCTATATGTACATATATTTATTTTGCCAGAAAGAAGTATGTGTAACCTTCTGTACTATTGTCAGAGATATACTTATTGAGTTTTATGCAATATTTGAATTTGATAGTGAAAGAATACTTATAAATTCCTGTGATTTGATGGTTTGACTGGGAAGAAAAAGTGTTAGTGTCTCCAGCTGTGCTTTTCAGAGCTGATTTTCACCTCTCAAAATAATCACCTGTTTTAGAGCATCTCATACAGAATGGAATAGCTGAAATGAGTTCTCCGGAGACTGGCTATTTTTCTCCACGTCTGGTCTCTGTGTGTCTCTAGATGCTCTTCGTAGAGACAGTCACAGGTTGCAGCTGAGACCCCACACTGTTTGCATATGAAATATTAATCTGTGTTCTAGGCCTCCACGGAAGGAGCTGATAAGCCTGTTCCAAGCAGATGCTCCCTATTAAGGAATATGAGCAGGAACAAGCTTTCTGTTGTTTTGTTTTGTTTTTTTTCTTCAACGTTTTCACACTCTGCCTGTGATTGTTTGACTATGTTATTGCTTACTGGCTTTTCCTCATTTCTGTAGACGTGTTTCATTCAGTTAAGTTTGGAGGAGGAAAGAGGCAAATAAGATAATTGTGGTGCCTTGAATCACATCACACCCCAAAAATAAAATTTATTCGATAGTTCTTTGCAAAATAATTCTCACCCTATTAAAAAAAAAAAAAAACTTTCTGGATGCCTGAAGACTTAAAGCAACAGCACATAAATGGTTTTCTAATTAAAAGTTAAAGAAGATAACAAAAGGTTCAAAATAAAATAAGTAGAAAAAAGATAAAATGTCAACTTATTAACTTTTGTATTTTCCAGATAATTCACACATATATTCTTATTTGTCACAATATGAATGGGTCTTTATGTGAAAATATGTCTTTACATTCAATTTCCTGGTAAATTTTTAATAAAGGATTTTTACTCCACATCTTGTCTTCTTTAGAAACTGAGAAAGTTTTAAAATGCAGTTCTCCTAAATGTTCTCCTAACATTCACAAAGATTTAATTTTACTTGTCACGATAAACTACGCATTACACAATTCAAGCATCAAATGTCTTGCATAACCAATGGAGATCATATATAATAGCATATAAATACATATATACATTACTGTGCATGTTTTTTTTAAAGAAATTGATACTTTACACCTTACACCTTAAATATAAATATTAAATATGCATTAAATTTGAAATGTATAAATTAAATATCAAATATGCGTAAGAAATAACAAAATCTATTCAAAGCCAAAATGAATTGAATGAAAATGAAAATGAAACTGTCAACATTCATATATCACCTCAGCTGCCCTGTGGCTCATCAACTGACATGAGTCAGCTGAAAAAGGAATGTACCACTGACCATGATAGAATATTTTATTAATAGAGTAAGAGAAAAAAAAGAGGCATTTGCCCCTGTTATGTAATATTGACGTTGGAGTGCTTGGGGCCAAGAAATTAGATTCCCTCAAGGATCTTGCTCACCATTATTCAACCAAAAATGCATAATCAGGCGATCAATAGCTACTAAAAAACATTCAGATCCTACAACCTGGCTGTAGTATCAAAGAAAACCTTCACAAGAACATAAGAAGTGAATGCAGGTACTCCATTAAACTAAATAATAGAAACTTTGGGGAATGTAGTCTATAACAAAAAGCCTCTAGCAAATTCAGGGTCAAGAAAGGGAGAGGAGCAGTGGACGGGAGGAGGAGCTCTCCTTTTCCCTATCCGATGTGAGAATAACTGGAGAAGGGAGGAACAAGGAGAGGGGAGTGGACAAAAACTGGCATGGGGACAAAAATCTCCAAGACCTGTGTTTGAACGGTAGCTGAGAGGAAGGTCTAGACATAATGTGGCGCAGCACTTTGGTGTCCAGAGCACCTGGGGGTACTATTGCTTCATTAAGCCCCCTTCCCACACAATCACACATCCACATGCGAACATCCAAGAGTTACAGAGAGCGACCTAGTAGTAGTTGCATCAATTTTTGATGTGCTATGACCACCATTTGTCTACTCCTGCTCGTCCTAGATAATAAAGGGACAAAACTCTTGGGATTTAGGCTCACAGAATGAGTGCAATCGCCACCGAGGACCAGGACAAGGCAGTGGCACTCATCGTTGACCTCTGCCTGGATGACAGCCCTCTCCTGGACCCAGAAACCTGTCAGGATTTCCTTGTGCTTCTGACCAATGAAAACCTCAACATCTCCAGCGGAGGTAAGTTTCCTGCGGTGTTTGATGGGAAGCTTGTTTGTTGGGGGTGACGTGGGTGGAGGACTTGCTTATATTTATGCGCGAAAGTAAGGTAGACTTCAAAGGATGATGACCTTTTAGATATGCCCACTTTCTGCGATTAAAACCAAGCTAACAGACTTTGTGAAAGTAAGTTCTGTATAAATAATGAATTTCCATTAGTTACCTGGCACTTTTTTATTTGCCTAATGAGCCTGCTTGTGTTTGATGTTGTTCTCCTCTAAATTAAGGATCCTAGTCATTGGCGATTTAGATCATTTGTAACCGTGGCACCTCCCTTTCCCCCCGTCTAATGACAAGTGTACAATTAAGCTTCGGATTGGAAAAATTACATGTATGTGCCTCATAAAAAGATGGATGCTAGTGTCTTACAACGCACTGCTCCAGACTACAGGTTCACGGCAGTCACGAAAGGTAAAATTGACATCGAAGATCGAAGGAGCTGTGATATCTCTGAGTTGGCAGGTGATAGGAATGTCTAAAGCAATACAAATTATAATGAATTCCCGATCTGGCGAACTGCCATGGAGGAAGACACAGAATCTAATTGTCACTCTGTGTTTCTGTCATGGGAGAAATCAAATAAACCACTGCAGGCCCTGACCTGCATCATGTCCACGACCACAGGTATAGTGAATTCCACTGTGTGTTATCTACAAATAAACATGAATCACTGACACCACTGAAAAATGCTAATGCCATCTCTTTAAAAATGCTCAACTACTTCTGAAGTGACTTTAAATGGACATATATATATATATATATATATAAAATAAATATATATATATTTTACATGTATTATTGCTACTTCAAGAGCAACTACAGCAACCAACACATAATTACAACAACATTATTGATATGTGACCCTGGACCACAAAACCAGTCATAAGGGTCAATGACCCATACAATGTATTTTTGGCTATTGCTACAAATATACCCCAGTGACTTAAGACTGCTTTTGTGCTCCAGGGTCACATATACAGTACTATCTCTATACTCTTACAAGTAGTTCACAAATGGTGTGCCACAGACCCAGTTAGAAAAAACAAAGCTAAATAAAAGCAATAAAATTGCACAAAATATATATTTATATGAAAGTATAATATTAACAATATCAATAAATATGTAAAATATGATTTAAATTTATATATTTTTATATATATATATAATAAAATTATTTTCATTATTAATTAACCTTTTAATTATTAACATTTCAATATAAGCCATATAACTGTGAATATTTAACATACTAAAATAAGCTCTCTTAAATAAGAGAAAATGCTTCCCATACTTGTTGCTGATGTCAAAACCATGTATCCAATCAGATCATATTTTGACACTGAAAAGCTAGCCAAATTAGTCAGATTCCAACACGGAAATGTTGAAAACCATGGACAACCATAAAGAAAACTACACAAGAATACAGAAAATAACCTCCATTAAATACCTATTAGACTTTGTATTGCTTTGGGTCGCCACTTGATGTCCAATTTAAGAATCGCAAAATCAATTCTCTGTACTACTTTTTCCATGAGTAATGCTACAGTTAAAAAAAAAACACAGCTCATAATGTCATAAAGTCATAATGATTGAGCTCTAATTATGAAGGAAGCGCTGAGTGTGTGAAGGGGAGATGCCTGCTGACTTGACTAGAAGTGGAGGGAGGTTCTGGAACTCGCGGTCCACAGGCAGTAATACTAGATGAATGGAGGACTGCCGCTGGTCTCCGCAACCCCATGGCAAGAGCTGCACCCAGCCTGCCAAAAAGCAAAGGTCATGCATCAGGAGAGCCAGGTGGTGCAGCACTCATGCAATGCCAAAACCCAACACGATACAGCAGCACTGAGAACGTAACAGAGGGCAGCACTGATCAACACTCTGCAGTTTGTTGCTAATTGTCTGAAGCAATTGTCCAACATCCCTCTTGAATAGATCTCAAGTGGAAGAGCCTGTGTTACTGCAGCTGCACTGTAAAGCATCACTTTTTATTAGGAATTCATGGGATGCTTGTGTTGAAGTCATGTCTGAATTTCTCATAAATGAATATTTCAAAGATGTCAGATCTAAACGTAACAAAAAAGCTGTTTGTTTAATAATTCAGGGTTTGCATCCCCCAGTTCAAAGAACCTTTCTATATTTCACTTTGTCTCAAAGGATGTTTACAGGGGCCTGGATGCGTTCAAGCCTGCATGACACTTTATGCTCTTATAAAAACACTTTATGCCATCTTTGTAATGCAGCTTCAAAGCAATGTCTTACCTGTGTCCACAGGCGTCATGGATTTTTGCCACAATCAATTATGTCCTGTATAAAATTTTACAACATTTCGCTCTTCCACGTACATTCTTTCACTGATGCCACAGCAACACCACTAGTGAGTGAATCTACAATGCCGCCATGTAGCCCCCGAATGATTCACTCGTTTGAGCCAGCAGTTCTTTTTAGTGATTCAAAATAAATAAACAACTTTAATAAATACAGCAGTAATTCATTTCTGGAACAAATGAATCAGGTACTCCGCAGCAGGTACTCCGATTTCCTAACCAATGAATCTTGTAAAGCGGATGTTTTCAGTTAATCAAAAGCAGGGGTGTCAAACTCAATTCCTGGAGGGCCGGAGCCCTGCAGAGTTTAGATTCAACCCTAATTAAACACACCTGATCCAACTAATCAAGTGTTAGAGCAGGGTTGGAACAAAACTCTGCAGGGCTTCGACCCTCCAGCAATTGAGTTTGGCAACCTTAATCAAAAGAATACAGCACCACTAGCGTTGTTCAATTCCAGAACGAATGAATCTTATGGGTGTTTTTTTTTTTTGTGAACCAAAAGGAGTGCAGCCAGAGTAGTCCGATTCACAAATGAATGTCTCAAATGAGTCGGCTCTCTTTAGTGAATCAAACACAGACAGCTAACAGATTGTGAGAACTTCCGTAGTTACATTAGTTTAGATTACATTTTACATATTTGTTCATTTTGTATTATTATTTAAATGTACACTACGTAATTCTAGGCTCTGAGGCTCAAACATAAATTTGCAATTTGATCCTTCGCTGGGAGCTTGATTGACAGGCGATCTGACCAATCATAATGCCGAATCTGCCATTTTGTCTGAGAAACAAACCAGACAGGAGAGTAGATTAACGTCGGTTGACTTGTACTTGAAAATGGTGTGTATTGACGTTTTTTCCGCGGTTGAAACAAGACACCTTCTGAGGTTTATTCATCTTCGTTTTGTGCTATAGCTAGTAAAGAGGAAGAGATGCAGCTTGAACTGAGGCGCTACAGCAATCTGTCACAACACATTAAAGAGCCATGGTATTTATTATTTGAATTTCTTAAAAAATGACATAAATTGAAAGCTTTGTTTCATACCAAAAGTAACCTGCTCTGTCTTGTCTGTCGGCATGTTGTCAGTGTCCTCTTCGCTCCACAATGTAATTTTCACTGCAGGAGAACATGATGTGTGGAGTGAGAGCGCCATGGCTTGTCGGACGTAGCAACAGTAACTAAGGCAGAGCGGGTCTTTGCAAAGGGTCGATTATCTGCGGAGAAACATTTTTAAGTAGTTGTGCTTCGGCACTGATTTTAAGCGCAGATGAATGATGGTTGCACGTGATCAGCATATCAAAGCAGATCTGATGAGCTATACAAAGATCAGAGTAAAAAGAGAGTCCTACTTAACTATCCAAAAAACATGTCATCTAAGCAAGTAAGTAGCCTTTTAGCACCACAGTAGTGGGACCTTCATTTTCTTTTTCAGTGAATGATGAAAGTCTAAAATTTGAAAGAAATTATTGCATTTGCTGCCTTTATTTTTTTATTGAACTCGTCAAAACAAAAAGTTATAATGCTATCAGACTAACAGGTCATGCTTGAAATTTTCCTGCTATTCTATGCATTTATCCACTGACCTAGAAAATCAAGAACAATATTGTTGTTTATATTTCATGACTTGTATATTAACAAATACTCTGTTTATCAAAATTAAAAACATGTTAAAAAGATCGTAATAGTGTTTTAATAGTTACGCCCATGCCTGATCAGAACCAATGCTATAAGTGTAAACACTCATTCCATCATTCATTCTCATTGTAAACAAGCATTACAAGTTTATTGACCAGCTTGTATAAAAGGAGTGCTGAGGAAGGTGAATTTAAAACGGTCAAAGTCAATATAATACCACTCAAGCACACAATGATGGCTTATGTTGCCATCATGTTGATGTTGACATGTTGCCCCTTGGTAATATTATTAGAAAATACGGGATTAGTTTCCACTGTTATGCTGATGATACTCAACTATATATCTCAACAAGATGAAAACTTCTAAATGATCTAAGCTGACAGAGTGTGTTAAAAAATGTAAAAGATTGGATGACCAATCATTTTCTTTTATTAAATTCGGATAAGACAGAGATATTATTTATTAGACCAAAAGACAGTACACAGAATCTCTTGGATTACAATTTGCAACTAGACGGATGTACTGTTACTTCCTCTACAGTCAAAAATCTGGGTGTTATATTAGATAGCAACTTGTCATTTGAAAATCATATTTCCAATGTTACAAAAACAGCATTCTTCCATCTTAGAAACATTGCCAAGTTACGAAACATGTTACCTGTTTCTGATGCAGAAAAGCTAGTTCATGCATTCATGACCTCTAGACTGGACTATTGTAATGCACTGCTAGGTGGCTGTCCTGCATCTTCAATAAACAGTCACTGATAAGCTACCACTAAATATTGTAAAAACTTAATTTGCTGTAAAGTTGCTTTGCAACGATTTGTATCGTGAAAAGCGCTATACAAATAAACTTTGAATTGTTTTGAATTGAATTATGTTAGGGATGACCATCTTTCTCACTCCATTTCTATTGTATAGAAGCCCTCAAGGTTAAATCAATTACACTTCCTTTCAAACATGACAAGAGGGATATGACTGGGTATAATACTTGAGCAATAGAGGGCATGTGGATTGGGGACCTCATTTCTTTCCACTAGTGTTGAAAAAGATGAAGAGAAACCATGCAGAATGCCGGTCGCATTGCAAAGTGGCACCTCTCCTCCTGTTTCTATAGCACATTGAGCAGAACGTTACTATTAGCCACCGTAGAGTAGTTTAGAGCCAGCCACTCATTCTATTCTAGACCTACTACTGCAGCTACTGCATTATGTGGCCATGAATAAATAAAACAGCGAGTAGACATTAGACCAGCAGGGAAAATAGCATACACACTCTTTCTATGTGTTCTCCTCCCTGCTAAAGAAGGAACAAGATAGATAGAGAGTTTTGTGTGGCTGTGTGTGTAAAATAACTACTGGGGGAGTTAATTCTCAGTAACCCAATGGGGAATTCCTGTGTGCTAGTGAAGTCCTGTGAGGTCTGATTAAATAATTTAGCTAGTGCCGTGTGCCAAGCTAATTTGTGACCATACCGTTATAGACTTTGTTAATTACTGAACAAGTGTAGCCTAGGCACAGCCAAAATTACATCCTTTGTCATTTTTCTTTGTAGGTCTTAAGCATTCTCACTTGCACTATGCTTATTCTTATAATAGCAAAATCTGCTGGGAGTTTGGCAGTGCCGTCAACCTAAGTATGAATTATGTGAATTTATACTTGCAGACACCCAATGTCTAGTGAAATAAATGTGATAAGCAATTTAGCATTTCATCCTTGTCTCTCTTGTCTCTTCACAATATCACACTAGCATCAAACTGTATGTGTCAGAGAAAAAACTGCTCCTTTAACTATAAACCTTTCAAAAATGACAATTCTGTCATCATTTATTCACCTTAAATGGATTATAAGCTTCTACAAAATGCAAAAGTGTCATATAGACATTGAAACATAAAAGTAGACTATATGACACTTGTGCTATATTTCAAACAGCTTTGTGTAAAAAGATAGGAAATTTAAGTCATTTTCTCTGATAATCTTCTACTCCAAACTGTTAACTGCGATGGAATCAAATCAAATGATGGAGTCAATTGACAAATCAATCAGAAGTGCATTTCCCAAAAGCATCATTAGCCAACTAGTCGCAAGTTCCGTTGTTCCGTTGTCATTTTATTGTTTCCTGAATCCAATGAACATTCGTAAACAGCATCGCAGACTTGTGTTGATGGAACTATGGATTAAGATTAAGGAAAAGATGACAGAATTTTAATTTTGGGGTAAACTATCCCTAAAATGTTACATTACTTAAATCCACCCTTGCTTTATTTCATACACTTCATAAACCTCTAGGATGAGGCCATTGATAATAAGATACTGGAGGCCTTTTGTGCCAAATGTTTAGACATTGCAAAGGACATTGATCTCTGATGTCCATCTCCATGTGCATCACTTCTAGGAATCAAGACATTTAAGTCGTGACCATCTCAAAAGATGAGAGTGAGCAAAAAAAAACAGAAAGCTACTAAAAAGGAGCCTGACTATAACAAAGGAAAACTGAATCACATGCTGCCCTGTAGCGGGACATGGAGGGAATTCAGGGGGTTTAGGCAGAGAGAAATGGACTCATTTCTAAAATCTAATTTCCATGCTCTGCCTGTTATGGGTGACTGTGACATTTCATCCCTGATTGTGTTCAATTTGTTCTCTATTCAGTGGCATGGGCCGAGGTTAACAAGCCATGCATGCGGCTGTTGACAAGCCCTGCGAGTAGAGGTGGATTCTGAAAAGAAATCCAACAGCATTTTCAATACTTAGTGCAGTGTTGGGCTTGCACAACCACTGGGTGTTGCATGATGTGTGTGCTATGTGCTTTTACTGAAAATTAGTGATTTATAGTATTGAATTTTATCAAATTTGATGATGAAAATAAGATATCCATCACAGATATATTCAATCGCAGATGTGTAATATTCTCATGATATTTATCTGGAGAATCTGGTCACGTGACTAAACAGAATGTGTGCCCTTTTTAACTTAAAGGTGCATTCATATAAAGATTAAACAGTGTGTGTGTATATAATACTTTGAAATATTATTTCAATTTAACTGTTTTCTATTTTAATGTATTTCAAAATGCAATCTTACAAATGTCTTTACTGTCACTTTTATCACAATTTAATGCATCGTTGCTGAATAAAAGTATTCATTTCTTTTAAAACAAATATTACTGACCACAAACTTTTGAACAGTAGTGTGCAAATAGCAGATTATGGCATCTCATCTAATAATTTCTGCTCACTTTATATCCTTATATCCTTCTTTTGGGATACTTTCACTCGTAAAATAAATGGCAGATTATTAATACATCGGCATCAGTAACTGAAGGTATAAGTCCAAGTTGTTGTCTTGTAAATACTAAGTGTGTCTTTAAATTACTCATATAGACTGCAGGATGTGTGTGTTTGGTACTATGAGCAATTTTCAGAATTGATTTAAAAGCCTCTTTAGAATGAATTAATGTAATGTAGCATTTGCTTGGTCAATGAGCTCTACAATTGGACCTAGAATAGAGTGAAAAATAAATAAACATGTTAAATGTACAAACACTCAGGAGCTAGAGTGCTTTTTTTATTCTTGGCAACAGAGAGGAGTAAACTATTTTCACCACCTGAGAATAGAACA